AGGACAGAAAATGACTTCTATACTTTTAAAATTTGCCCAAAATTTAGGAGGTCTTTAGACCGAGCCAACTATAGTATATAATCATAAAATGTGCGCATTTGTTATGTAACACAGAACCCGCACTCAATTTCCAACACTGAATGTAACCCTGCATAGTGGACACTGTTGCAGATCAAATGTGACAAAATCAATCGTTGATCTTTTTATGTTGTGAAACTTGCTATTTCAATTGTTTTAAAATAGAAAAAAAGGAGTATATGTGAAAAGAAAACCGGTGTAGCAAATATTTTTTTTTGAATGGAAATATTTGTTATTTTTGTCTTTACTGTTTGGTTAACTAACATCATTCAGATCATTGCTAGATCAGAAGTTAGATATGAACTGGAGTTTGGAGTAAAGTCTAGACATATGCACACAATTTATTTGAATTTAAATATTTTTTTTTATTCAAAATTAACCAATCTTTAATTAAATCAAAAGCATTTTTTTAAAGTCTAAAGCTATTATTTGTTCTTCACTTATATCTTTTTCCACATTTTCATCTCCTGTTATGTGGGATTCTTCTACTTCATTCAAGGGATCAGTCAAATTTTCCTTTATTTATGCAAGAAGATACATTGGAAACTACACCTTGTTTCAGCAGGTGAAAAATAAAGCTGCATTCACATTATGGAGTAAATGCAAGTGAATGGAGTGAATGGAGAGTATATACAATTAAATTGATTTACTACATATTGAAGCATTGAATTTATTATATCATATATGTATTTGCTTGTGTTATTAACTCCATTATTATTATTATTATATTTGTAGTTTATTGAAAGATAATATAACAGTTGATTTATAATAAGCAGACATAAGGTTTTGGATAATATAATTATTGTTCATTTTATTTATATTAGAAAATATAATATTTGATATAATTTAAAAAAATCATTCAAGCAAGATGTGATGCATACACACTTCATGGTGCAAAATGAATTCATGCAAGGCATATTCATTTGTCACAACAACAAGGATTAGACTCTATACTTGTAAGATCATTTATTTAAAATTAATAAATTAAAAAGAATACAGTAATAACAACAGGAAATTTTTCTGATGCTGATTTACATAATTATTACACTATTTACGTAAGTTTATGGCGGGCCCGTAATATTATGCAAATAAGCATACAAAAATTATGCAATTATTGCATCGAGTGTAAATATTACATAATTTTTATGCAAATATTACAATTTTACATATTAAAATTTACGGACGTAATATTGCGGTGGGAAAAATTTCCTGATGAATATATAGATATTATTATAAAGATATTGAATTTTTTTTATGTTTTATTCTTATGATAATAGGAATGATTATAATGATATCAGGAAAAGGAAGAAACAAATACAAAATGACAAATATTGGATATTTTATACATAACTATTAATATACATAATGAATAATTAAATAAAAAGATAGTGGTGATAGAAACAGGAGGGAACGTCCTATATAAGGAATGGATTTTCACAATTGATTTCAATTTTTTTTATACAGTTTAAAATACTT